GAAAACTTTAAGTTGATTTACCAACAGCGAATCGAAAATACCTCTACAACAAATTCTGATATGTTTAACTATAGTGCGAGTGTGCTCAATATTTTTAACTGGGTGAGCCTTATTGTAAAGTGTCAATTACCTCTTAATATATGTGAGAATCCCGATTTCATCTTACATACTAGTCTTTCGAAGTTAGATAGTTCTATGGTTAGTAAGTACCTTAATGGGTTAGCAGATATTGTACGAGAGAGAGTAAAAAATATTTTGCCAGAAAAGATTGGAGTTATATTTGATGGATAGACGAATAATGGTATTCACTTTGTTGGAATGTTTGGAATCTACCAAACTGCTCATGAACCTAGAAATTCGGTTTTACTAGCATTTTCACCCTTTGAAGATCGCTCTACCCAAAATGCAGACGCGCATGTTAGATTTTTTGAAAACGTTTTAGAATCATATGGCAAGGGTGTTGAAAACGTTCTTTCTTTTCAGGCGATAACTGTAGTACAAATCGTAAAATAGCTAACGATTTGGGTCTTCCACTTGTTGGATATGCATCACACCGTCTAAAATTGGCAGTTAATGACCTTATTAGTTCTTCGTCCATCCTTGTAAATCAAATTCGTACAATCGTGTATATGATGCGAACTTATAAGAATCATGGAAAGCTTGTAAAGATGACGCTGTTGAAACCTATATTGGACAATGTAACACGTTGGATGAGCGTTATGAAAATGATTAAACGATTTAAGGAACTCGTTCCTCACGTTACTTAGGCGAATGGATTTTCAAGTCAAGAATTTTTTTATTTTATTTTTATTTTATTTATTTTATCTTATTTTTATTTTTTTATTTTTTACATATTTCTATGCATATACAGGTCGTGATATTTCGTTAGTTGAGCAATTGGATCTCGACGAAGTTGATCTCTTAATTAAATGGCTTAAATATTTTTCGGAAGCAACTAACGACCTACAAAGTAATTCTATAAATTTGGATGATGTTCATGCCTACTTCGATTTGTTAATAGAGGAATGTCCAGAGTTAGAAAGTCGGCTAGGAAAAAATACAGCAATAATCCATGATCCAGGTTTTGAAGAATCTGTAGTTAAAGTTCTACGCAAACAAGAAGCTGTACTAACATTCAGTGAAAAGCAAAAGCTTGAAGAATTTATTATTGAGTGACAAATTGAAGAAGAAAGTCCTTTAACTATGAAGGAACGAGTTGCGAAAAAACGCAAATTAGAAGAATCGATGTACATAGATATGAATCTCATTCCTCCTACTTCTAATGCCGTAGAACGTTTGTTTTTGCTTGTAAAGTATTACTATACAGACTGGAGAAAGTCTCTAGACCCATATATATTAGAAAATCTTCTATTGCTAAGAGTTAATGATAAAATGTGGTCAATTCGGGATATTCACCAAATTAAACAATAGTTTCATATATATATATATTTATTTTAATGTAAATTTTAACACAATACCTTTTTAATACTTTTATTATAATAATTGCAATTAATTGCAATTATTTCGCAATTAATTGTTTTGCCATTGTTTTTTTTTACAATTAATTGTTTTGCAATTGTCATTTATAACAATGTCAATTAAATTTAATTGTGTAATAATTTAATTGCAATTTAATTTTCGGTAGGCCTGATCCGAAGTAGTGATCACCAGCTCTGGAAATTTTTTTCGTTTAAAGATATAGTATATAATATGCACTATTTATAGCGCATTTAAGTATTATAAATTTACCAGAACTATTAGAGCAGATTCTATATTTCTTAGTAATAGATAAGTTACTTTATCCTGCTCTTTTTGTTTGCCGATTGTGGTATAAATGTGCTGTTCCTAGCTTATGGAAATACATTGAACTAAAGGGGAATGATCTGAAATATGGTCATTATTTCCCAGATGGTTATACTTATCATGAGAAAGATCGTACTCAATGGAAAAGATTTATAAAAATAATGAATGAAAAGCGTAAGCCAGCTTGTGTCTTGAATGTAACTCATCTAGAAATTACTTATTACCATTCACTATTGGATACTTTTCCAAATATAATTCATTTAGATTTCAAAGATAGCGTAGGTTTTAGCGATAAAGCGTTATCTATAATAGCAGAAGCATATCCTAATTTGAGATATCTCAATCTGTGGGACGCTCAAGCAATATCCGATAAAGGCTTATGTGCAATTGTACGATCATGTAAATTAGAACATCTAAATATTTCGTACTGCAGAAATATTACTGATAAATCTTTGTTTGAAATCGCAGAAAATTGTCATGATTTGCAAGAGTTCCATTTTGCTGAAGCATATTGGATCACAGATAAATCTATATGTTGCATCATAAACTTGTGCCCAAATTTACGAAATCTTGATATTGCATTTAGCAAGAGAAAAATCAAAGATGCTAGTATGTTAATACAGAGATGTTTTAGTATAGAGTTTCTTGTCTTTAGTAGTGTCATGGCTTTTCGTAATGATGCATTAATTGTAGCAATCATCAGGGCATCTCCAAATTTAAGACATCTAGAGATTGGTAGTAATGATATTGGTGATGAGATTACTGAAGCGCTGGCCCATACATGTTATAAATTAGAATATCTCGATCTAAGTTGCTGTTCATTTGTTAGCGAACCATCAATTTGTAATGTTATTCATTCCTGCCCGAAACTCCAGCATCTCAGCCTTAGCTTTTGTAAAATTTCTAATATAACTATTAAAGAAATTGCTCGTTCATGTCTCCGTTTAAACTTTCTAGATTTGGAAAAGTGTAAAAATATTAGCAAAAAAAACATAGATCAGTTAAATCCAAATATTCACATAGAAAATTTTGATGAAGATTACTACTGTTTTGATTCAGAATTTTCTAGCTCTAAAACTGAATCAAAGTCCGAATCATCTAGTTCTGAGTCAGAGGATGAAGTTATCTATTATAATAATCTTCCTCATCCGATGATTACGGACTCACCCGATAGCCCGAATAATTTTATTAGCACATTTAGTGATTTTCTTAGACAGAATGGTAGTGCTAATAATAATTTTATTTCTGCATTTCTCAATCAGGAATTAGCACAATGCTCTTTGGCCGAGCAATGGTACTCTACCAATCTAACTAATCCAACACTCTGGAGTGGTGAATAGTTATTACGTCAACCCAGAATATAGCTCATCAGCTTGGAAGATTTTTTGATCCACAATGCATATACTCTGGAACACAAAAAATTGTGATATTAATTCCACAATGCATGTACTCTGGTGCACAAAAAATCAAGACGCGTTTGATATTAATTCCGCAATCAATGAATAATTATTCCGCCAACTTTTTTTTCTCGAAGGTTCTGGCATAATACAGATATTACGAATTTTTGAGTTAGTATTATGCAGATTAATCCAACATCCCTGATATTAGAATGGGGTAAGAATGGGAAATGAGAATCTTGATCGACCGATTTACAGATCTCGATCCTGTGAAATGTAATAGGGGCCAAAGGTACTACCATTCTACATAATAAACAAAATTTCATTTTTAGGCCATTAGTAGATTTGTATAAGGTACGAATAGAAGTAAAAACAACGTGTAATTATGCAAATAAACGTGAATCAATTACTCGCATTGACTGAATTATGCGAATTTATATATTTCTTTTTTTTTAAAAAAAAATCATGTGGATGGTTTATATATTATGCGTAGTAAGGTAGATGTCATTTCTATACTTTTCGCAGTAATTCATCAATCCACTTTGCATATCCGCAGTTAGCATTGGGCATGTGATTTAACTTTTATACAGATCTATTAATAAACCCAGCCAAGAGTTATGTTACTATACTGATGAACTTTACCGAAAGTTCTGGTAAGTCTTTTATTACGCAGTTCTGAATTACTAATAAAAAATAACATCCTGATTTACATGTGGATTGTATGTCAGGGCGTTATTAAAAAGAAATTCAAAAATAGAAATAGAGCGATAAGAATCTATGATTTACAGATTTATCCTCTGCATAAATAAACGGTAGATTTTTATTATCCTACTGAGTTAGTATTACGTGTAGACAAATCAGGTTAAATTCCCATTTTAGCGCATGGTGGTCTACACTTCTTGTCAAAGGTATTTTGCTGATCATGTTGTTAGAATGGAACGAAAATGGCTATATTACCAACCCTATAAAAAAAGTTAACTATTAGCAGTTCGTGAATATGTATGATCATTAACATATATGCACCCCCAAAACAATGAAATTTACGTCAATGCTCCTGATTATTTATTCCAGGAATGGTTAATTTTTCGCAAAAATGGTCATGTATATCGGCCTGCGGGAATCTGAAATTTTTTATAAATACCCTACCTTTATCCTTCCAACAGACCTTCAATTTGATCTACGTTTACTAGCCGACCGTATGTTTTTTTATACTAAACTGCGCCACAAACAAATAGATCCCCACCTTCTTATATACTTGAAGCAAGAAAAAATCTATTGTCCTCTACCTAGGAGGGTCTCCTTGGGATACCACTCTTCGGTCGACATAACTATAACTGATATAAATAGTTTATTGAATGAAGCGAGGCAATGTCTCATTAAATATATTCTATTTCTCTTTAGACATAAATGAATTGTGAATAGGAATGGGGACTTTAGTCAAAAGCAATACACATAATGTAGATACTGTACTCTATATGATAGCAGGGCTATCCTGTGATTAATGTTTTATTAGTAAAATTTTATTAATAAAAAACTTTCTCTTGTATAAGGCCTCACGGCCAAGCATTTGAAAAAAATATTATTCTTTATTGTTTGACTGTGTTGTGGAGATATGGGGATACAGGAATATACTAACTTTTTTTGTCTCTAGGAATAAGCACCATATCCGAATCTTAATATTTTCTTTTTTAGAAATAAGGAGTGATCAGGTATAGATATGATATCATTTTCATATACAACGGATAATCTCGCCCTCACGCAATTATTCAATGCCTTTATTTTGGAGCGGATTCTTTTCTATTTATACTAGCGTATATTTTTGCTATGAATAGTAAAACATATAAAGGGGTATTTCTAGAGAAGCGTCTTGGCTTTTTTTCTCCTACAAGTGAAAAAATAAAATAAGACTTTCGCATTCTCCTACAAGTGAAAAAATAAAATAACAATTTCACATAAAGTTAATAAAACAAAAATCTACCTAAAAAATGTTTTCAAACTCTGATATTTTCTTGATTGCAGTCTTCAGCGTCACAATTACTGTTTTCGAAATGCTAACCCGTGGTGTCCTGACAATGGATATGATCCAGGGCATTTTTTCGAGAAACATAACCATTTATATAATCTTTGTCGTTGCTATCATCTTTTTTCGTAAATATCTAAAGAGATCAGGAGATAATAATCTCGAAAAAACCATCTTAGCATTAAGTAATGAGCTTCAAAGAATGCGTACAGAAGCTGAATGGAGAAACGAAACAGCATCTCAAGGTAGGTTATAGTCTTAAACATATTAAAATATACACGTCATGCATATATACTTATCTGCGCCATATTTTTTCTAGCAGGATCTAATCGATTCTCTTCCACAAGTCATGTTTCCATGGGATATTATTCCGAATATACGGATGAATATGAAACTTATTGGGTCGAATTTACGGCTCTTTTTAATAATAGGAGGAAAAAAGAAGGTCGTTCTCCAACACAATTATTCAATATTTTATCGATCGAAATTGGTCTTAGTGCTAGCACATTAGCTAGCTTTTATCGACATCAAAAATCGCCAAGAAAAACTTCTATAGATAAAATTATCGAATGAGTTGAAAAGGAGGGAAATAAAAAAGTAGTTAGTTTTTCTGATAATAGCAGTAGTAATAGTAGTAATAACGGGGTAGTAGTACGAAATAAAATTGATGCTGGGACTCTCATTTATGGCCTAGGATCCAAGAACTCCCTCCCTCTTTGATAGCATCATTTATCTTTTATTAGTTTTATTTTTACATAACTTCCCCAGGATCTTCTTTAGGTAGTCTTTCCTCTCTTTCATCCTTTTCAATAGTCTTGTGTTTCTTTTTTGGTTTAACTTTCTCAATAGCTTTCCTCTTAGTAGAAGTGATATCTTGGTTTTCCTTTTCATCCTCCTTTCCAGATTTCTGTAGTAGCAAAATATATGAGTAAGATTCTTAGCCAATTCCTCCTCGAGAATCAGCAGACCTTAACCTAATAGTAAGATGTGCACGTCACAGAAGCTCTATGTCTGGACGCTCTTCTTCCCTATGTACGAAAACATAAGGCGTAGCACACTAACTACTCTCGTTAATATTTTCACATTCTAAAGAACATGTAAAAATAAAAACCTTCAGTTGACGCTTTAGTGCTAACGCTTTCTTCCCTTCTTTCGTCTCAGGCCCTAATAGCTCTACCAACACTTTCAATTCTTTACCTAAATCGCGATGTGACGACACTTTCAGCTTATTGGGATAATTTATGAAATAAAAATTGTCCCATGTGTTTATCGTCCACTGCGTGTACGGCCTTTCCCAGTAGCTGGAATGTCGAACTTCATTTAAAATTTCTTTTGACAACATTATGCAAGTTAACAGATAGCGAAAAAAAATAATAAAAAGCAAGGTATAAAATCATAGTTTAAAATATAAAAAAAATACTTATATGCAGTATGGCTCGAACTAACATCTCGACGCGAAAAAAATTTAACACGCGAAAAATTAAGCTATATATTTAGCAAATGACTCAGCATTATTGACACAAAAAAAACGAAAACAAGTTGTATACGCGGATCAGAAAAATTCTTATTTGCGATTCATGTATCACAGATTAACTTAGCTCATCTCGGGAGTCGGGAGCTAACCAGAATAGGCAGATCGCAATATTTACCCCATCTTGCAGGTATTAGTATCTTGCAGGTGGCGATCACTACATGCAGACTTCTCATGTGAAGCGCCTCGCAAACATCAATCGAATCCAAATCTGAAAAGTTTCCTTTCCACTAAAATAATATATGTCTTTATACATTTGTGAGTTACATAACTCTGTATGAATGATGCTTTAGGTTCACATTCTGAAATTCTGATGATTTGCAAAGTTATGCTCCAGATAATTTTCGGGTAAAAAACCGGTTACATTGTATATCATTTTTTTGTGTGAGGTTATATATGCATCAAGGTACGATCAAGATTTTATACCCAATATATATCTATGTTGATATAGATTTTTAATTCATAAATCTGGTGGCTGATTAATTGTGTTTAGTTTTGCATGATTTAATACGTTGTATAATTATCAATGTGACTCCTTGGGAAAAGTAATCTGCGAGACAAATCTGTCCCGTACTAGTAATTTTTATCGTTCACGAAACCCTATTTTTTGATCACTGGATGAAAATCGTGATTTCATTAATCGGTGTAACTCTGATTATTGTAGTTTTTATCTATATTAATAAACAAACTTTTGAACATATCCCATCTAGTATAAAACAATGGAAGACGCCCAATCTACAATCGATTCATTGAGGAAATTAAATTCTGATCTCATTCGCCAGATCACTGAACTTAGAAAGAAGTTTGCTGAGATCGAGACTGAGAATATAAAATTAAAACAAGATAAGGAAGAGATTGAAGCCAGATTTGTGAAATTAGATAAAGATACTGCTACTGAAAATGCTAAGCTTAAAGCTAGAGTTGCGAAATTGGAACGGAAGCAATTGCAAAATGACAAAGGAAAAAGTTTCCATATTGTTAAATTGGATGAGGACAGCAGAGAAATCAAGCAATCTTTAGTTAATATTATCTTTTCTGCATCTGATATAACTGATGACGCTTCAAATTCTGATATTTGTGAACAAGCAGAAAATAATTCCAATATTTGTCAAGAAAAAGTTAGCTAATGTTCTGCATCTCCTATTTCTTCCAAAACAAATTCTAACGATATTCATAAACAGATGGTCACACAAAATGAGAATGCTTCAGCATCTGATAATGTTTCAAATTCTGATATACACCAACCTATCTGCACGGAGTCTATATCATTAGAAGAAAAGGATGAAAATGATTTCCTGAATTCAAAAAATAAGGAATGGGTTAGTAAAGAGATTATTCAGAGCATTAAGGAGAAGAAGCTCCGAGATTAAGAGAAACTCATAACTTCCCAGGTTACTGTCCCTATTATCTCCCGTGAACAGAAAAATATCCAATCAAATTCTCAGCACGAAAGCGTGGGTATTGACCCATGTACTTCGACTTTGCCAAGAATTTCCAATAGCGAAGCTAGTGCCAAGGCACATAAATCAGAACAAACATCTATCGATCAAAAAGTTACCTGTAATCAAATGGTAGAACAAGGTTTAATACAAGAGTTAACAGAATTTGTCATAGAAGAGAGCATTGAAATTAAGAAATCTTTTTATTTGATCGATAAGAAAACTGTTACTGTACAGAGCTTAGTTCATTTATACCAGAAAGCAAGTTTAGCAAAAAAAAATATGATTCAAGCTAAACAGGAAGAAATTTTATGCTGGTATTATTATGGGAAAGACTTTGAAAAAATGGTTAGTAAAATTTTGTCTAATCCTTTCGGAATTGGAGCTAGTTGCAAAAATAACAAAAGAGCTAATAATCTAGCAAGAGGCCAAATATATGATAAAATGATTGAACATCTTTCAGGCATCACACGTGAAAATTTGCATAAGAAAACTCAGAGAATTATTAAAATTTATAATCTATTCGAAACAATAGGTAAAGATAAAATTAAGCAAGTTCAATCTTATAGTGCAACTACTATTTCATGTTTAGCCGATATTAATATTCAAAATATTATAAATTCCATTTCCAAAAAATCACATGACTGTGAGACAAATCTGTCCCGCACTTATAAAGAAAATTTATCTACCGATTTTAGTTTTTCTCCAAAAATAGAATTCGAAGCATCAGAAAACAAGGTAGGTGCGCCACCTGACTCGAAATCCGCTATTAAGGAGACCTCACCAGAAGATAAGGTAAACACATTACCTATATCTCAACCTAATCCAACTTGTGATCATGCTTATTTCCGTAATAAAACATTAAAGCAATATCCTAATTTATGTCGAGAAGGTAGTGATGGAAACGACGATTATTATGGAATTACTGATGAATCTTTATGCCCGCTATGCAAGTTAAATCATGATGATGATAATGGTATAGGAGGCAGATATGAAGTTGGATCTTATAATCTTAAATGTGAACAACGTGGAATTGAAGTTAAGGTAACAGCATAAACCCTGCCTTCTCGCAATATTTGCTCGAAGCCAGAAAGTAAGTGATCACTATATGTACTTACATTTAAACAAAAGCTAATCACTTTTTTTTTCTTTTTTCGAATTTATGAGAAAAAAAGGCTCTGAGGCATATTTATTTTTGTCTGCTATTGTTAATTTAAAGAGATGTGCAATTATATAAAATGGCAATATAAATACACAGGCAAAAGCCAATAAAACATTAACTCCCAAATATTTGAAGTGAGAAGCTAAATTAACAGAATTGCCAAGCCCTTTGACAGATAATATTCGTTTTAGGTTATATAAAAGATATAAAAAAAAAACTGGACTCGATCCTTGGATAAACTCTGAAACTTCTAAACCCTCCCAAGTCGAAGATAACAAGAATGAAACAAAGGTATGCATATTACCTATAGACAAAAATGCATCTCTCAATTCTCATCTTCCCATTTCTATCTTACCCGATGATCCAGAAGAAAAACGAAATCTTGTTATTTATACCACATTGAAGCAATTCGATAATTTATCTCTTAAGCATAGCAATAAATATGGCGATTATTATGATTATTCAAAAATATGTCCTGCATATAATGAAGAGCATAAAGAAGATGATGTGGAAGGTCAGTGGGGTAATGGTAATTATTATGGAGAAAAAACTTATCATCTCTATTGTTGTAAAAGAACTTTTAGTGAAATCCCCATAGTAAATGTGAAAAAAAAGAATCTAAAAAAAAAACGAAAAGACTTTATCAGCAAGGTATTGGAACAGAATCCCAGTATATCTTTGAGTCACAGTACTGATTCTGATGATATATATCGATGCAATACTTCATTATGTCCATCATGTAAGCAAAACCATAAAGACAATATTGTAGGCCGGTTTGTGAGGGGGTTCTATAATATTGGATGCAGATTTAATTATACAGGAGAAATTAATATAATAGCATAAACAATAGATAATTTATAATAAGTAAAGGTAATAGATATCAAAATCGTGTAAAAATAAAAGATTAAGAGCCCAGTGGACCCCTTCTTTATTTAATAACTTTTTTGCCAGAATGACAATATACAAATAAAGAAATTATATTTATTTTTTGTTTAACAACTTTTGGAGTTTATTAAAATCTATCGATGATCCATCATTAGACCTTGTTCTCAAACTTAAAGTATCACTTGTCTTTGTTCTATCACTTCGTATTTTTTCATGCTTTCTTAATATTAATGAAATAAAAAACTTAATTCTAAAAAATATATTTCTTCTTACGCGGGAAGGTGAGATAAAACATTTTCTTACTAGTTAGAGTAATATCCATGGGGTTTGGTGTAGATGGTGTTGGGTTATTAGTCGTGGGAGTGGTAGTGTCATAGGTGGTGGTAATGGTAGTAGTGTGGTGGTGTCAGTCGTGGGGGTGGTGTCATTGGTTGTGGGGGTAGTATTATCGTTAGTGGACATTCTAAATAAAAAAATATAGTAAGTAAAGTTTCATTTTATAGACTATTAAATAGTATAATACATTACTTTAAAAATAAATTATGAACGGGCAAAAAATATGTATTGACAAAAAAATATTATCATAACCTACCTACAAGAAACAAAAAAATCGCTTATTTTATACTTCACATTCGTTAGATCTAGAGAACCTGTCAGAAGAAAAATCACAAGCTTAGTAATTATGTTACCTAACACAATACTATACCACACTTAACAAAGCAACTCCGCTTGGTCATAAGTTCCAAACACTAAGCCTATTTTGTTATTTTTTCTGGTAAACTTAACCCCCTTAGATTCAACGATCGCTTAAGGTGGGTTTAGATCTGACGATCTGGGAATTCCAAGTTTCTGCAACATATGAATTTGGACCAAACTACTGATTAAGAACATTATATGGGCTAGGTGCAATAGAAAAGAGGGAAATCAACAAAACAAAAGATCTTCAGAAGATCAATTTTTATGTTA